ACAGATTAAAGAGAAAAGTGTGCTAAAGATTCTGAGATGTTCCTACAGTCTACACATTCTTTCATTCAGAAACTATGAGAAAAGTACAAACACCTACTTTTTCGGTTAAGTTTTGGAAAGTAGGTGTGTGTACTTTTCTCATAGTTTCTGAATGAAAGAATGTGTAGACTGTAGGAACATCTCAGAATCTTTAGCACACTTTTCTCTTTAATCTGTGATATTCTAGATCTCTAGGCGTCGCGTTACTAAACATTATAAGAAAAACAAAATGCAAAAAAATCATTATGGAATTTCACTCCGGTAGCAGAGATGGCTGGTCAGAGCGATTTCAAGACCTGATTGATAATTTGATCTTCATTGTATCTTGGTATCAATTTTCGCACATCATCAACGAATTTCTCGCCAGATTTTCGTATTGTTTGTTCTTCAGCAGCGTCTCGTTTCGTCACGATCTAATCAGAGATAAAGACATGGTCAGTAAATAATTCGAGAAAGATAATCGAATTCTCATCTGCACATCTTGTGCACCTTTTCCAGGGATATTTTATCCTCAATCAAAACGACAATATTTGAATGAATTTCTCTCGTACCGAGTTGCTCTAACCGTCAGAATGGATGTTTTTCTACTTTTATTCAAGAAAAACCTTTACTTTAGTCACTTTGCGCGAACAAATGCCGTGCATCCGTTTGAGATTCAACACCCAAGTATGAGATACTTTGAATTCACGAAAAGACATGTTCATAGCCTGAGTGATTCTCCAACGCTTGAGGTCACGATCATGGACAGGTAACAATTGGTATCGTGCATGCATAAACCTGGTATACACAAATTCTTCTATCTTCTCTAATTTATGATTTTTGGTGCCTCATTGTTTAATATCTTTCCTGAATCTTGCTATAGCTGACTGATGATGAATTCTTTTGAAACGATTCTTCACTGACGTGAACGGGTGCTTCCGATTTCCTTTTTCGTCTCTTTCGTCGTAATACTCAAGTGCACTTGTCATGTACTCCGGTGATAAATTTTCAGCTTGAGAAACGCTACCAGCTGTTTCAACATCGATATCAAAATCGGAATCGATTTCGGCATTGTCGTCTTCAAACTTTTTGTCTTCGTCTTCATATTTTTCGTCTGCGTCTTGGACATCATCGTAATGGAGTGTCGATTCTTGCTCGACGGAATACGAATCACCGAGTAATACCGACTTTAGAGCATCAAATAACAGATCAGCCATTTCCTTTTCACTTGAATAACCAGACAGTGGCCAAAATAAGTTCGTTGGCTGCTCGAGCCATAAAGAGTTTCGAAATACGCGTGGCGCTGTTCATCCTTCAACACAGAACGTTGTTGTGTCTCTGTTCCGTCTACTGTTCTGTCTGAAGCAGCACCGATTATTTATTAAGAAGCGAGAGAGAGAATAAGAGAACGAGCACGTGGTGAATGTTGAAGATAACAGTGCAACTGTATGAGTAACGAATATGCTGTTGACTCAAGGAATGTATACATCGGGTATTCTAGCTTAACTCCTACGTAACAATGTTTAAAATGAGTGATATCGTACCAACAAGAGAGCACTCGCTGTATTGTTCACGTGGATATTCTTTCTCTTTCTGTTTCTTCACTTCATAGTCTTGGTCGCGTTTACTTCCCACGTTCCCTCTATAAGTTAGGCAAAATCGGCAGAATCCATGTGAAAGCTATAAGTGAGAACTATTCAAGAAAGCTATTGATGAGTTCAAACGTCTGTCACATAAACATAGTGAGGTCATTTATCTCTTATGA